AAATACTATGGCTTAATTATCATCAGATTTGTTTTAATGCAATATGGAAAGTTTCATCTTTTCGCTCTATATGTTAATTACATCTGTAGTTGGGAAATCAAAAAATAGAAAATTAACTTATACACCTATGAAAAACGTATTACTTTTTCTAAATGTTTAAGTCATGTTTAATCTAAAGAATATTTGAAGACAAATTTCAGTTTTTTTGTTACTTCACAATATCTGGGAGAGAGATAGTTTCAAAAAGTCAGAAAATGTTTAAAAGTTAAATTTTCAAAATGACTATAAAATGTCTACAAAACATCTGCAAATAATTTAAGAGAAAATTTTTAAAATATTCGCATATTTCTAAAGAAATTCTTAAGATACCTTTTCAAAGGGAAAGTCATAATACAAACTATTTTATTAACGTGTATATTTTGTTGAATAATTTTACATTAATATTATTCATACCTAAATCTTTATTTAACTAAAATTAACTAATTTTAATTTCAAAATTCATTAAAAATTTGATACACGACTCTGACATTGAAATAATACTCATCATTCATAATCACTACTAATCATCATTAATCATTTCTCGTTCAATGAGATAATTATAAATTGATTCAAAATATTCAGCAACATACAATTTTAGTATTAGATATAATATGATTTTAATAACACATGAAAATTTTCAACTTTCTAATTGGCTTTCAATGTTTGGTTGAATTTTATTGAATGTCATGAAAACTAAAGAAGATTAATAATATTAAATAATAAACTAAATTAGTTCTATCTTTATAGTTAAATAAATCGATATTTAGTTGTATACAAAAATAGATATATTTCGTTGAGAAGAAATATATATAACCCTGCAAAAAGTATTTACTATAAATATATGCTTTATATTGGTAGTGCCTCGCGTACCCGTGCCACAGGACCTGGGTTCGATCCTCGGGCCGGGCAAGGTTGACTCACCCTTTCATCCCTTCAGTGGGTCGATAAATGAGTACCAAGCATGATTGGGAACTAAAGACTAAGGGTTCCGCGTTCAGCTGACCACCTGACCGGAACATCTGCTCCTGCTCCCCAGAGCCCAAGGTTAAGAAAACTGAGATGGGCACAGTAGGCCTTGGCCCTCTATGGGATGTTGTGCCACTGAGTTTAGTTTAGTTTATATGCTTTATATAAACTCTATTTGATCAAATTCGTTAAACACAGTAAAAAACTAATGCAGTGGAAAACTAACACTTTAAAAAAATACATTGAATTTTTCACAGGGAGTCTGCTAAACAACAGCCTCATGAGCAATTTTGGGCCGAGTAGCATCTCTTTTCAATCAACATATCTACCAACATATCTCTTTTCAATTAACACATATACCCATAACAATCTCTCCTCTTTTTTTATGATACTGCCTTCAGACTTAGTGGGATGTTATATTTGATCAGATGATTTTGAAATTTGACGAAAATAGCTGACTTGATCTGATGCTTAATGATGTGTATATCTAGCACAGCATAGCCACCTCTGACTGTTGGGATATTAAACTTCACCTATGAATCGGAAGCCAATGTAACATGTGGCACAGTTTTCAGAATCTAATGACCATCGATATTTCTTTAATTTCTTTTATGAGTAGAAATATTTCTAAGATTAAGTACCGTTATCGTTTTTTATCACAGTTTTAGCTATTTTGAAATAGAAAATAGAAAACGACACATGCTTGTATCACTATTTAAGTACGCAAACTTATTTATGATCTTGCTCAACAATTTAAGAAGCTATGTTTTTGAAAGACTTTAAGATATAATTCAGAGTATTTAAGAATTTAAATCAATTTTAATCGCTCTTTTTGTCAAAATAAATAAATAATGGTAAAAAAACAAATGTAATTTTATTACCTTTTTATACATTTTTTTAAGAAAAACTATTTTTTTTGCTGGAAAATAACCGATTGTAAATTCTATTGAATTTTTCTGTACTTTCTCTCAATTTTTTCCTTTCTCATTAATATTTATGATTTTGTACAACATGTTCTCGATTTTAATATTTATATTGATGTTGGGTTTTATAAATTCCGAGATTCAAATGAATCCATAATTTAAAAGCGAATGATCAGCGGATGTAGATAAATATAGTATAAATAAATGATCGAAGGGGGAATGTGCATTAATTAATTGTTGATTCAACTTAATGAAACACTTATGATCCATTATATATATATATATTCATCAGGACGATTNAGTGAATTATCATTTTGCCATTAAATAACTAACAAAAAATTACTTTGAATTATTGAAAACAAACTTCCTTTAAAAACATTTCGCTGTTATCAAAAGGAAAATCACTTTGAATTTAAACCATGCATATTTTACGATACTGATGTTTTTAAAAGTTAAATAAAAGTATATTGGTAAAGGATCCTTTTCATTGAGACATAAATCAAATATTTGATTTAGACCTAAGACTTTAACGAGCTTTTCGAGTGAAACAATTACGGCCAATTAAAATGAATCCAATGTACAATTAAATGATACAGTGTACAAGTAGCATATACTATAGTGCTGTTCAATATAAAGCATAAAACAATTTTGTAATATAGTAAAACAGTTATGAATTAAGGTATTTAAATCAGTACTATCTAGACAAATTGAACAAAGGGTGCTCTAAACTATGTCTGGTGAAATAAAAATTAGGTAGAAAAGGATATTTTATACATTCAAATTAGCCTTTTAGCAAAAGTATTCATAGTATAACAAATTTACTATTCTTTAAATAAATTGTTGGAGGGATTTAAAAGTTGGAAAGAAAAACTATAAGGAAACAAGTTTGCATATATGTTTGGGACTCAAATGCCATACTAAGCATATTACGATATTTTCAATGGCAAATGACCCATATCGCTTTATAAAGAAATGTATACATCATGTATAATAAATTGTATCTGATATACTATCATAAAAAAGTGATCATGCCTGATATGATTATGAAAATATGAAAAACTATTTAGGAAAGTTACTTTTACGTTAAACAATTTTTTATATTATGTTTAACAATGAAATGAATTATGTGAGAATTAGGGACTCAAAGTTCATAGAAAGATGTGCTACTCTAAATAATATGCTTTAAAACAAATCAAATGGTAAAATACATGCTACAAAATATTTGTTTATTACTTATAATATTGTATTTAAGCTTTTAAAACATTTTTCATAATGCAGCATGTTCTTTTTTCTGAACTTATGGAATTAAACGTCACTTTCAACAGCCTAAATGATTGGTAACATCAACATTATTTGCAACAATTACAACAACAAGTATGTTGGGTTTTTTCCAGAACATAGTTTTATTTTGCAGATGATTTCTTAGAACAAATATAAATTTAAATATTTCTTTTCATTTTCTACAAAACATTTTATCATTTTTTGTTAATATTGAACTGTTATTTTTCCTTATTTGCTTCACAATTTTCTTTCTGTGTTTTGAACCTTCGCGTCATATACTTCCACATCAAATTTATTTCAAACTATGTCTTTCGAAATATTTCCTGAACTCTTTATTTGTTATCGATATGTTTTATTTAAAAATAGTGATTAAGAAAATATCCGTGTAACCACGTATGTTTAAATAAAGTAATTTTTCATATTGACTAGCTCTAAAAGGAAAATAAACTAAGCGATAATGCTTTAAATTTTTTTGAAATAAATGTCTTAGTTATTCAATTAAAATTATAAAAATAATATAATAAAGTTGAATTTAATTTCAAGTTACATTCCTCAAATGCAGGTACTATTACTACTCTAGTCATTATTGACATACATATATATGCTAAAAATGACTAGAGTGTGAGCATGTATAATTGCAAGCAAATTTCTTGTTTTTTAATTAATAATAAGATTTATCAGTAAAATAATTATAAATAGTAGTTATCTAAATGAAATCTCCGACACTCAAAATATGTTGTAAAATGTATTTAAAAGTTTTCATATCAGGTATACTTAAGCATTGGAGAGTTATAACTTTTATTTGGCAGTCAAAATCCTCTGCTTATCTGAAGCTTAGAGGTACAGTACTTGATAAATATTTTGTCAGATTTAATTATTATTTAGTCTCCCTTCATTTAAAAAAAATTCTGTATGTATTACTGAGTATTCGTAAAGAACTGCTACATTTGAGACACAGGTAGAGATGTAAGCAACTCTCGTTTTAAGATTTTCTTTGATAGTATTCCAATATATTTTACAGATGACTTATAAATGAAGCAAAAGATAGAATTACCATAACTTATTGCTTTTATTGCATGTCACAGCGCTCATTTTTTTACAGATTTTTCACATTTGTAGAAAATGTATAATCTTAATAAACAACATTATTTTCCGCTGTATTTTCAGATCTTTTTATAATCTCCATATATAAGTTGTAGTGGTAAATATTTTTTTAATATTAAATTTACAAAACTAGTGATAAATCAATTCTACTTCTAGAAATATTCTTCAGCAAAAAGAATAAAAAACACATATATATGATTTAAATAACTCGAAAAAAAGTTAATACTAATTTCTCCACTTCTCTTAAATGAGAATCGTTAAAAATGATTTTTATCACATTATCTTGGAAAATTTTAAATTTAAAATTACTAATACATTTATTTAAACTTGTATGAAAAAAAAAGATTCCAAAATAGTGATTTCATAATTATAATTTTTATCATCATTGCTATTGATTATTAATTAATCGTTATTAATATTTATATTATCATCATCATTATTATGATTAACATAATATTATTATCACATCTTGGAAAATTTTAAATTCAAAATTACTAATACATTTATTTAAAATTGTATCAGAAAAAAAGATTCCAAAATAGTGATTTCATAATCATTATTTTTATCATCATTGATATTCATAATTAATTAATCGTTATTAATAGTAATATTATCATCATCATTATTATAATTAACATAATATTATTAACTAAAATATGTAAATAAAAAAAACAGTTAGATACTTACAATATCTATGAGTTGGGAGAGCTTGAGCCCTAGATTTATTGTCACTTTGTGGGAATGGTTGCCTACGGGCCTAATTAGTCTATTATAGTCACTGAGCAAATCATCATGCAGTCTCTTGGCGGCTGGATGCGCCTCAGAGACTTTTGTTATCAGTAACAAGACATATAAAACATAACAAAGCCATGTCCAGTTGTGCCTTAAAGGCACTATCTCCCAACAGTACCTCTTACATCTTGTTGTCCGTAGTGATGCAATGGTCAACCACAAGAGTCCCTCGTCCGCATGTTCATCCGGGATGCTGTTCACATCAACACGGCTTGCCACGTCTTTCTCAACTCCGTTATATACCAGACTGGAAGAATGAATCGGTCGATAGCATCCCTTTTCTCTTCTCTCTCTGATCCTCATCCTCAGCATCTTCTTTCGGATCAGATGTCAAGAAAATCAAGGGATGCTTCCCACCAATAATTCTCTTGATTAGATTAATTCCTCTATAATCTCAAATCTTAAGTAGTAAACAGGTTACTCGAGAGATCAGTTTTTGACATTCCATCCAATGCAGGCCACCATTTCGTAAGGGGGGAAGTGTGAAAGATTGTCAAAGAGCGCCACCCAACGGCGGATCACTTAAATGATGCTGCATTGCTCTGAATACTCCCTTTTACGCTCTCTCGCTGCTAATTTCCTTCTTTCTCTCTCCCGTTGCAACTCAACGAGAGAAATATGGAGGGGAAATAAAGATTGAATAAAAATGCTTCGCCAAAAGTAATTTATAACAAATGGATTTCTTTTTTTATTGAATGTGTGTTATTTTCTAGTTTTTAAAAAATGATTATTGATCGCATCATCAAATTTAATTTTTAAAAACAACATTGATAATATAAAATATTTAAAAAAAAAACTTTACATCATTTTCTTTAACATTTCGAATTATATTTTAAAAATAGGTCATTCTAATAAAATAAAAGAATACTTAACTTAAATGCAACAAAACAAATTCATTAATTAAGCTTAAATTAAGATAAATTTAGATTAAGAAATTAAGAAATAGGAAACATATGGCATATATATTTATTAAATACATTTCAATCGTTCATTTGCTATTTTTTAAATCAGAAAAACATGTACTTTTTAATAAATAGGTTTTTTAAATACTTTTAATAAATAATATGTAGGCTGTTAAATGCTTTTGCTTTAAAGACTTCCAGAAAAAAGCTTTCTTTATATTTAAATAAAATTTAGGAGCAGCTTTAATGTACTATCATTAAAAACGGCAGCACATACATAAATGCCAGACGTGCATGATTCTAATTAAAAATATCTATTTTATACATTTTTGGCATTTTCCATTAATAATTTTTAAAAACAAATTCGCCTTTAAGTGAAATTGGAATCTTTTAGCTATTAAGACAAATGAACTCAGAATAAGTTGAAAATTCTTCAGTTAATTGTAAACAAGAATAAGACGTGTTTTTTAAGTTAAAAATTTAGAAATGATATGGATTAAATGCACAGAATTTAATTTTATTATTTATTACTTTTAAACTTTTAACCAAAACTTATATTTTAAATAAAACACCAATTTTATACAATTTTTATTATATTTTTTCCCAATTATAAATTACGAAAAGATTTCAGATGCTGTTTTTTTTTAAAAATTCGAAATGAAAAATTGTTTCCTTTGTAATGCTGCATACCATTGAAGAATTAAAATTCTCAGAACAAATAACATTTATCGTAATTTTTTTCACTCGAATCCAAACTGTAGGTGGCGTTACTTTTGCTTGTTTCAGAAATCCTCTTTACATATTATCATTTGCCTATTACTCATTTCGAGAAAATATCTCTTTTGACATGGGTTGTTTCTAAATGTATAATTTGTAGAGTATATTTTCTTTTCATGGATTTTTTTTCTCATTTATATTTGTACCGATTTCTTTGCCTATGTAGAGATTGAGATTATTTAAAAATAAAGAACCGATTTGTTTTGAAAAATAACTCTATGTAGATTGCTTATTTCGTTAAATGTGCATTTTTTATCATATTTCTGGGCAATTACAGCAATTATAATCTAGCTCGACAATGCCTTGCCACTAAAAGCATTTTTGGTATGCTTTTGTAAAATAATTTGTACTGGAAATTGGATTATTTTAATATAGAATTACTTAATAAAAAATTCTTGTAAGGAATTAAATAACAAAAATAATATTTCATAACTTTTTGAGTAGTATTTTAGCAATACTCAAAATGTGTCCAAATATAGGTTTAAAATCTATGACAAAAAGTAAAAAAACATAGAAAATTTATTATTTCTAACTCCTTTTGATTTGAAAAATTTTCGAAGCATAATTTTAAGATATTCAAGTATGGGGGTAAAGGATAATAATTTAATTTAAATTTTTGCCAAATTCATTACTCTTAAAATTTAAGATTTGTGATACAACTTGTATTAAAAGAAAAGCAAACTACGTAAATAGAAAAAAATACTCTGAACATAACGTTAAAAACATCAAAATAAGTAAAGACTAGAATGTGTTAAATTTTGTTTCAAACAAAAAATGCTTCTAGGAGAGTTTCCTTTCTTTTTTTTCTTCAGGTTTCAAGACTGCATAACTCCCTACTTTTTTAGATCCTTTACCATAAAACCCTACATTCAATTCATTTATCCCTGTTTTAACCGATATTGTCTCACCCGTTTCGGTAGTTCTTCTTTTATATGTATGCCGGATTTATCGGATGAATTTTACCATCCTACCATTTTTGTATTTCTACACGTAATTGACATTTTAATGTTGTATGAAACTTTATATACGATTCTAATTTTATCCACTTTTATATGCATATGTGCTACTTACTGTTTTATCTATTTCATGTATTTTAAGCAGGTAATAACAAAAGGTTATAGTATCTAACATTCTGAATTACTTCAAAAACAACTGTTTTGGGGTAATGTGTCCTTTTATGGACCTTGTACTCTTTAACGCCACATCCTAACAACCAACTCTATATCCAATATAATACCGAAGCACCATTATAATCTTTACTTTTTTATGTTGCTAGTTTCTAATTTATAACACTGTTAATTTATTTTTACAATAGATGCGAGTAAGTTTTGTTTCTGGCATCCTATAGACGCTTCCGGCTTTGAGAGATTCAAATTATATTCAATCAGCGGCTATGTTCTGGGAAGGAGAAATTTTGAAATCGTTAAAAAATATAAATATCTCAAGAAGTTTATACGTATAATTTTTTTCTCGCATGAAAATACTTTTTTTTAATCAGACATGGTTTGTTGCACCATTTTTTTCACTTCTATCCGAAAAGTAATTTATATTTAGCGTAGTGTAATCATCATTAAAATGTCTTTAATTGCATTGAAAAGTGCATTTAATTGAATTAACCAATTAATGAAATATCTTTCATTGATACTTAATATAAACTATAATTTTTTTCATAAAACCTTAATAACTATTTAAGTAGTTACAATACATTCCTATATTTTTAAAAATGCATTAATTCATAGATTTATCTATGAATAATATAAAAAGAATATAATGATTGTTTTAACTATATTGATCTAACTATTTTTAGCCTGAATAATTGTTTGAAAACAATGCTGTATGGAAAAAAAAGTAGAATAAATCCTATAATTAAACAATAAATCTTACAGGTGTTAAGATACAGCCTCGTTAAAATTATTGACGTCAAAAAGAAATCAATTTTTTTTCGTGTTTATATTAAGGTGTAAATTTAATAAAAAATTGTTAAAAAAACTTTCTCTTTGTTCCCATTCAGCATTGTTTCCCCAACTATTTTATAACTGATGGGGTTATGACCTTATCAACTAAAACATGTCCCAGGATACAATAGCTCATCTAATTATCTTCGGAAGTTGACTTTTCTTGGAGAAGTTGTTTTATGAACAAATACTATTTTTTATCGCACTTCAAACATGAATTATCTTTTTATGCGAAAGATGTACAGGTTTCGCTGTTTACTTTCATTTTAGTTTCTTGTTCACGCGTTATTTTGAAAGCTGCAGTTCTGAAGAATCTGCTGAAATAACAGTTTGTAAATTTAAGTATTAAGAAAAAAAACAGAATATTATTAATTCTGAATAAATAATATAAAGTTTTCAATAGAAAATAAAATTGGTAATTTAGGTGGATTATAATTAAACCGAAAACGCATGGAATTTAAAATATCTAGAACAAAAAATGTTTAACAGAAGAACCATTCATGAAAAAAAGTAGGAATTTTTTTCAACCTTATTCTGAATACAATTACAAACAATTTAGTTAATAAAAAAAGAAGCATAAACTATAAAGGCTTAAAAACATAAAGTCTCTATCTTCAATGACATAAATATGAGCCTAATCAGTTCATTATTTAAAATTTTAATAACGTTTCTAGTTGAAATCATCATTAAATAATTGACCATATCATAGAAATTATATTTTAAATCTTTTAGGGCAAACTGGCTCTACATGGATGATTTTCTATCATTTGCTGTTTTTTTTAACTGTCCATCAGGTACAGTATTTGTATCATTCATCTAACGTTTCAGTATATTTAGTCGTAATTTTTTTTAACAGATATCACCAAAGTTGATTTTTATTCCTAGAGAATTTTAAAATTACATCTTTGATTCTATAATTCATGTTTTGAACTCTATATTTTTTATATAATGTATATAACTGCCTTTATATGTTTACTAATAATTGACTTTTGACTCTACAGTGCAATTGACTTTTGACTCTACAGTGCACACGGATTTAACAGTACCCACTAATGAACGAATTTTCTCACACTATGGTTCAATATTAATGGTCTGTTCTCGTACATTACACATGTAAATGAATTAATGCAGTAGATATTTTAAATTACAAAATAAGAAAAAAGACGCATTTTCTCTGACTTTTTTTAGGTTCTATATTTTCAAAACATTGAAGAAACTACAATCCAGAAGATGTAAACCCCATAATTTAGACAGGAGAATGCTCTAACGGTCACCCTTTTTTTTAATATATTTTCTCTTATCTCTGAAACTAATGAAGCAAATTAAAATAATTTTTTTAAAAAAAATGTTATGCATGTATCTCCTAAGATAATTTCATACAAAAAATGATTTATTTTAATTATTATTTGAAATATTATCTACTCTGTCAAGTTTAGAATTGATAATTTAAGCATGATACCTGAGTACCAAATCTAAGGTATCATTATAGGTAAGGTATCGAACATGATTGATCCCTGAATTTTAAACTTTTCTGAACAGAATTCAAATATGAAGTACAGGTCACTCCTGACACGAGTGACCTGTACTGTAATACAAAAGCCTACATTTTGAAGAAAATGTAGGCTTTTGTATAATCATAAAATAGACATTTAAAAAAGGTTATAAAGGAAAATTACACCTTCTAACACTTAATTTAACTAACATACATTTTGTTCCAGAATGATGTCCCGATAAATTTAAACTGTTATGGTTCCAATTTAACTATGCAGATCTGTTATGGAGCCCAGTATAATTAAAAGCCAAGCGAGAAATCCTTCACCACCATGTCGGTGGCATTCAATGGTGTTGTCTTGGTGGTAACGGGTAGCTAATTGACAAAACATACCGTAGATTGCAAAGGGTTAGCGAAAATTTCTATTGGCGTTAAAGGAGCGTTCTCGCAAATCTCCA